TTGGTCACAGGGACCAATTCCAGATAGTCCTTGACTGGCTCGACAACCTCACGCAGAGGCTGGACGAGGTGCAGCAACAAGCAGGAGGCCGCCCTGCTGAAAATCGGGGGCATCACCACCGATGCCCTTTGCGGGCTCAGCTGGCTAAGCACCCTATCGCACCCTCTAGGCCGACCTCTCAACGTCCGGCGGAAGTGGCTAGAGTGTGAGTTAGCCGCCGAGGACCCTCCAACCGCCTTGCACCTCAGACCTCCGAGACTACCTCAACGACCGATGGGCCAGAAAGAACCAAGGTGCAACCGGCCCGTCCTGCTACCGCGAAGACCAAGACAAAGCCAAGGTACTTGTCGGCCAGCAGATTGCCAACATACGAGCACAAATCAGCGCCATGAAGAACGAAATTCAATGAGTCAAGGAGAGCCAAGGCAATGCCTCGGTCAGTCAGCACCCTTCAACTAGGATGGACGCCTTCACTGCCACCATCACCTCGGAACCTCTTTCGCCTCATTTCAAAGCTCCCACGTTGGAGACTTACGATGGCACCTTGGACCTAGACGAACACTTGGAGAGCTTCCAGGCACTCATGCACCTATATGGGTACTCCGACGCATTGAAGTGCCGAGCTTTCCAGGCGACCTTCAGGGGAGCAGCTCGACAATGGTTTTCTGGGCTCCTGCCCTGTTCCATCAGCTCCTAGGACCAGTTCGCCCATCTCTTCCTCGCCCACTTCATCAGTAGCCGGCGGCACCAAAAGAGCATCATCTCACTCATGGTCATCCGATAGCGACGTGGCGAGAGCCTGCAGTCCTACATCGACTGTTTCAAGAAAGAAGAAATGGAGATCCGTGACCTTGACCCCATGGTCTCTATGCACACAGCGATCCAATGCCTCCTCCCCTGGTCGAACCTTAAGAACTCTATCACCAAAACGCTGCCCAAAACCAAAGCAGAATTTATGGAAAAGGCACAGAAGTATATCGCCACTGAAGAAGCCTTGGCTGGAGAACACCTAGGTGGAGAGGCCGACATCAACATCGATGCCGATATTGACCATGGCAATCACCAATGACGGGACAGCCGCGACGATGACCACGACGATGGGAAGCAGCTCGATGCTGTTGATACCGATCTCATCACCCCATCTCAACGGTTGTTGTCGTAGTCAGTCATCGTCATCACCTCGGCCTCGATTGCATCCACAGGCCGAACCATGTGACCACAAGAGCTCAACTTTGACCGACTATGTAAAAACCTTTTTTGTAATAAAGCAAGTCTCTTTTACCTCGCCTCAAATCCTCAATGCATACATTCTCGTCTCAATCGAGCACCTTTTCGCAGCATACAACCTTTGCAAAGGTTACATGCTCAGACTGGACCTCGTTCCAAGGCACACGGCCCCTTGGGTGGCCGCCGACGGGACGGCCCTCGATTTTGGCCTCAGCCTTGGTGAGACCCTCCAAGCGAGTGAGTTCTCTTCCAAGTTTGAGTGCTGGCATCGGCCCCCCACTTGCATAGACATGTTGAAGGAAACAACTCCAACACCTCGGCGGATGCACCTGACGGCTTCACCTCGGCAGACACACCTCGACGGTCTTACCTAGGCGGACACACCTCGACGGTCTCACCTCGGTTGATGCGCCCTGACGGCTTCGCCTCGGCGGACGCACCCCGACGGTCTCACTACAGCAAATGCGCACTGACGGCTTCGCCTCGATGGACGCACCCCGATAGTCTCACCTCGGCGGATGCGTTCCGACGGCTTCGCCTAGATGGACGCACCCTGGCAGTCTCACCTCGGTGGATGTGCCCTAACGGCTTCACCTCGGCAATGCACCCCGACGGTCTCACCTTGGCGAATGTGCCCCAACGGCTTTGCCTCGGTGGACGCACCCTAACGGTCTCACCTCAGCGGACGCACCCCGATGGTCTCACCTCGGCGGATGTGCCCCGACGGCTTTGCCTCGACGAATGCACCCCGACGGTCTCACCTCGACGGATGCGCCCCGACGGCTTCGCCTCAAGGGATGCACCTCGACAGTCTCACCTTGGCGGATGCACCCCAACGGTCTCACCTCGATGGATGCACCCTAACAGCTTCGCCTCGGTGGATGCACCCTGACAATCTCACCGTGGTAGAGGCGCACCGACAGCTTCGCCTCGGCGGAC